TGGGAAGGACAGGCGAGGAGAGGGGCGACTAGGAGCGCGGCAGAGAAGGAGCAAGAGGAGGAGAGAAGGAGGAGGCGGTGACAGAGGAGGGGGAGGGCCAACATGATCCCACCACTCTCCCCTCCTCCTCCTCCGCCTCCTCCTCTTTCTCCTCCTCCTCCTCCTCCGACTCCTCCTTCTCGTCCTCCTCCTCCGACTCCTCCTTCTCGTCCTCCTCGTCCTCGGAAGGGAAAGGGGGAGGAGGCGGCGGCAGACGATGAGGAGGGTGCGGAGATATCACCTCGAGGACGACACGTCGCTGTACGTGGACTGCCAGGAGGAGACCATCCGTGAGGATCCCGACCACAAGGCGGGGGCCTCGGGAGCCGGTGTGGCGAAGAAGCTGGAGACCTGCCCCCCGTTCCCTGCCCCTCTCGGGACACAGACGGAAGTAGTTGGACGAGGAGGAGGAGGAGAAGGCAGAGGATGATGATGATGATGATGATGATGATGATGATGATGATGATGATGATGATGATGATGCTGATGCTGATGCTGATGATGATGATGATGATGATGATGATGATGATGTTGATGCTGATGCTGATGCTGATGCTGATGCTGATGCTGATGATGATGATGATGATGATGATGATGATGATGATGAGGAGGAGGAGGAGGAGGAGGAGGATGAGGAGGATAGAGGAGGGCTATGATTATGGTGGACTATGCCGTGTCGCAGCACGGGCGAAGCCTGCTCGGGGCCCTGGCGAAGTAAGTTGTCCGACGAGCAGCAGCCGACGACGCCTGGGTCCAGGCTGAGCCTCAGGCCGTCCTGCGCCCTGTGCCCCTGCCTCCGCGCGTGCCCAGTGCAGGTCGTGTGCGGCTGCCGCGACGGGGTGATTGCATCTCTGGCTTTTTTGGAGGGGTTCCCCGCTGCTCTTCGTGGCTGAGCGCTCCACCTGGAGACGTTCGTGATGGGCCTGTTTTCCACCACCACCGCCACCGCCACCACCATAAGTTGGAGGGGGAGGAGGAGGAGGCGGACGACGAAGAGGAGGAGGAGGAGGAGGAGGAGGCGGACGACGCAGAGGAGGAGGAGGAGCAGGAAGAGGAGGAGGAGGACCAGTGTAAAAAACCCTTGAGTCATCAACGATGTTGGAATGAACTCACCCTCCAAGCTCCCTCTCCATAGGCCCCATACAACGGTTCATGTCCATTGAGGGAATTGCCGAAGGCGCGGCGCTCAGGCGAGAGCCACATTTTGAAACGGAGCCGCCTTCAATCCGTGAAGCTCTTGCAAATTTCTAAAACGAATGTGCGCGGCGCTAAGGCGAGAGCCACATTTTGAAAACGGCCCACCCTCCATCCGTGAAGCTGTAGTCACTTGTTAAGCTCCAGAGTCATAAATGGTAAGGAAGTCTGAGGCGGAACACCCGGCCCGCCCGAAAAGCTGGCCTCGGGGTGCGACAGGGAGAAGTGATCTATGCGGAGAAGGAATGGAGGTGGAGGAGGAGGAGGTGGTGGTGGAGGAGGAGGAGGAGGAGGAGGAGGACCCCCTCCCCCTCCAACTTATGGTGGTGGTGGTGGTGGAAAGCAGGCCCATCAGTTCTCCGTGATGGGAATATCCAGGGGGGGCTTGGTCCCTTGGCGAATGGGCCCTCGTTCTTGTGACCGTGCTTCGGCCTGCATCTGATCAGGACGGCACGTGGTGGCTGCGCTGGTGGTTCAGCAGCACCGAAATCACCAGTCTAGGGCCTCGAGAAGCCTGAGATCGGTCTGCTACTCGAGCCATGGTCGAACCACTGTTCGCATTCTGCCAGGCTGGGCACCCTCGTTTTTCGCTTGCTGGGGCCAGGCTGGGCACACACACCTTCTTTTCGCCTGCTTCTGGCCTCTACCCCAGCTGCTGGGCCAGGCCAGGCTGGGCCCAGCTGGGCTGGGCACGCGCGGCAGGGGCAGTCCGCACGGCCGCTCGAGCTGTCGGGGGCGCTCGACAAACTAGCTGTCCAGCAGCACGGGAGGGAGGAGAAGCGGCCGCGGAAGAGAAGGCTGGGCACACACGCAGTGTGTTGATCTCTGCTTTGCAGCTGGGCGCGCTGCCTGTCTTGCCGCACGTGCCGATCCCGGCGTTCCAACTGAGGGTGCCTGCGGCCTGCTCGCGCTGGCAGCCGTTGCGGCCGATGCCTGCCGCGTCGCCCGCTGCTGACGCCTGTTGCCTGCGATTGCCGCCAGAGGCCGCTGCCACTGCCTGTCGTTTGGCATTGGCAGCCACTGCTGCTTCTGCCTGCCTTGTCGCACGCGCTGATCCCAGAGCTGTAGCTGAGGGTGCCTGCAGCCTTCTCGCAATGCCAGCCTCCGCTGCCAGTGCCTGTCGCGTCGCACGGTGACTGATGACGCATGCTGTCTACCTGCGCTGCCAACCACCGCTACCACTGCCTGCTTTCTCTTGTCTGCCACTGCTGCCACTGGCTGCCTCGTCGCACGCGCTGATTCCGGGGTTATAGCTGAGGGTACCTGCTATCTTCTCGCAGTGCCAGCCTCCAATGCCACTGCCTGCCTTGTCGGACTCGCTGACTCCACCGTTGTAGCTGATAGTGCCTGCAACTCTCTCGCAATGCCAGCCTCCGCTTCCACTGTCTGCCTTGTCGTCGGACTTGCTGCCACTGCCTGATCCTTACCGCCTCGGCTCGCAGGACCTGCTGCCACTGCCTGATCCTTGTCTCCTCGGCCGAGCCACGCCGTCCTTGACGCGCGAGCTGATCTCAGCGGGGGAACTGATGATGCTAAGCTCGGGCGCCACCTCGCTCTGGCAGAACATGCTGCCGTGGTTGTCCTCCTTCGCCACTGGCCAGGCCCGGTCTTCGCCGCCTGGCGCAACTCCGTGTCTGGCCGTCTAGTCCTATCGCTCTATGTGACGACGTTGGGCTCCGCTGTTTCTGATGGCTCGTGGTGGCAGTGGCATTCTTAAGCTTGCCGCCGCAACTCAAGGAGGAGGAGGAGGATCAGTTGGTGGAGGAGGAGAAGGAGAGGAGAAGAAGTAGGAGGAAGAGGAGGAGGAGGAGGAGGAGGAGGAGGAGGAGGAGGAGGAGGGGGACAGTGGGTTGGCAGAGGAGGAGGACGAGGACCACGACGAGGGGCGGAGGTGTGATCGTTTTCGACGTCGCTTGTCGGGCCCTCTGATGCCTCTGGAGACTTCCAGGGCCAAAGATCTCACTTGGTGCGAAAGATCACGCGGACGTATTCTTCACATGCTCCGTCGGACCCCGGGGGGTTGTATCCAGGCCTGGGAGACCATGTCACAGCGAGCAGGGACGACGAGCATGCGATAGAGACGCGGTCGAGAGCTCCGTTGGCAGGGGCCAGCGACTCGAAACAGTCAAGGCGCCGGAGGTCTGGGAAACCAGAGGCAGTCGGGAGCTTAGTGGGCCCTGGAAACGACAGGGCCGTTTTTTTACCGGTTCCGTTTTGCTGTTTTTTGTCGGTTCCGACGCCGTTTTTTTACCGGTTCTGTCGCCGTTATTTGACCGGTTTCGGCTCCAGTTCCAATCCTGGAGCCGTTTTTTTGCCGTTTCCGGTCGCCGTTCTTTTGCCGTTTGGAAACGGTGAAAAAAACGGCCCTGCCGTTTCCGGGGCCCACAAAGGTCAGGAGTGTGAGGAGGGAGGGGGAGGAGGAAATGGGAGCCGAGATGTTGGTGTTTTTTTGGTTGGAGGGGGGGATGGCTTGACGGTGCGAGTATGGTCCTCCGGGGGAGGGGAGGGAGGAGGAAGGAAGAGGACGAGGATGAGGAGGAGGAGGAGGATAACATTGAGGAGGAGGAGGAGGCGGAGGAGGAGGAAGACATTGGCGAGCATGAAAAGGAGGTGGCGGAGTTGGAGGATGAGGTCAGGCGGCGGTAAAGGAGGAGGAGGAGGAGGAGGAGGAGGAGGAGGAGGAGGAGGAGCGTGAGGTGGAGCGCCCGTGCGAGTGACCCATAGGCATCTAGGAGAAGGACGACAACAATGATGAGGGGAGGAGCCCTCCACCACACGTGAGCTCCCAGGCCCCAATAAAGGGACTGTTCCGGCTCTGCAAATACTCCGGTGGGCTCCCGCTTGACCTCCAGACGAACGTGCGCCGCTTCAAGGCGGCGTCGAATTACATGCAGGCTGCCCTGGCGTACTTCGGCATGAGGTCCAAGAGGAACAGACAGCACAAACAAACATTCGGAGCTCCTCACGGATTTCTTGGATCGGCGCTGGGACCTTCTGACGGCGCCTCCAGCGCCGCCCCCGACGCGCTCCGCGCAACAGGGAGGGGGGTGCCATCGTATATCCAAGAAGGCGCGCTGACCTCCGAAAGTTTATGTTTGTGCAGTGCTTCCCTTCTCTATGAGGGGCTTCTCCCTGCAACACATCCTGGAGGGATCCATGGTCGTGCACACGACCTCCGCGGACGGCCAGGGCCGGACCGGCGCGGGCACGCAGTACATCCTCACCAGGCAGGTCAGCGTCCCGCCGACCCACTGGATGAGGGCGCCTGACACCGCCAGGAGAGCCGTGGTGACCAGATAGAGCCAGCCAGCCTCTGTTAGAGCTGGCGGCGAGCAAAACGGGGGCTGGGAGATGGGGGGTCGCTCAGAGGAGGAACATGCACCGCTGCCGCTACCCTCTCCTCGTCGCCACGGGGGGATCCGCCTCGAAGTCCTAGTCAGAACGCGCCCCAGGAGGAGTTCGTGGAGTATCGGTTATAGCCAGGACCCCAGGTAAGGGGACTCGGTTAGTGGTAGGGCCCTGGAGCCTTTGACTTGGCCAGAATCACTCAACCAGGTCTGCCGTAGCTGGTGTTTTTCGGGTGACGGCAGCTCTGGTTAGTGGAACGGGGCGGGGGGGCGTCCCCCAGTACACATCACTAAACCAGGTCCCACTAAACCCAGTTCTGCCAACGCCCGAGAGTAGCGGTATCGGTATCTTCCGGCTCCCTCAGTCGCCCTCCGAAGAGGCAGGGGGGACCTGCAGAGGGGCCTCGGGGCTCCATCCAC